CAGGGAGAGCGCCGTCATGTCAACACCCATTTCCTACTGATCATGGGGTCCTATTTCGACTGCAGTGATGACTTCAATGTTGGTTTGTCGTTTGCCCTCCAAAACAATAGTTAAAGGATGTTGAAGGATGTTGCAGGGAGACAGGTTCAGGATTTGCAGATGTGAAAAACAAAAGGAATGCGGCGCCATTGGCCGGTTCGTGTCGTGGCTCAGGAAATGGCCTCCATTGGGCTTCCCGTGCCACCGGGATTCACGTTGACCACGGAGGTGTGCACTCACTTCTACCAGAACGAGTGCAACTACCCCAAGGAGCTCACCCAACAGGCGGTCTTGAACATTTTAAGTACTGGGAACAACAGTGGCATGTCAATGTAGTTTTGCGCATGTAACATGTAGCATTGCGCACAAGAAATTGGGCCATGAACTTTCAGCCAAGCGGATTTGCGTAACAACTGAATCTGTGGATTTGGAAAATTCAGTTGTTTTTTTGTTGTTCATAATTGGATGGACCTAGATTCTAGATTAAGAAGGTTTCTGGGCCAGCCCAGCCGCTTCAAGGGTTCCCAACCCAGATTCCCATTGCTGGCCTCGCTGTGTGTTACCAGGCAATCTCCAAGCGGTTTCGATTGTGCCCTATGTTGGGCCATTTGTTGATTTTAAACGCTCCTTTTGGGATCATCTCCAACCTTGGTCCAGGTGGAAGAAGCGCTTTCTTTGGTCCAACAGCGCACGGGCCGCGTCTTTGGCGATGAAACCAACCCACTGTTGGTGTCCGTCCGTTCTGGGGCACGCGCATCTATGCCAGGAGACCTCTTTTCCATGCGTTGGTGAAGTGGGTCCAGGAGGTTCAAATTCCGATGTCACAAATATGTTCCCTGGCTGTTTCCGTGATAGGTGTGATAGGTTGTCCTGCTATTGTGGTTGGATACATAGATATCCAGATAGAGATTTATTTTGATAGTAGATAGTAAATGTTAGGAGTTTGGGGTGAGTGTCATTGTTTAATGTGTTTATATTTGTTTATGACTATATAGCCAGCTTTGACCTTGACGACAGCAACAGAGGAGCGCCACTGCATAATGCCATAGGAAGTCGCAGTCCCGAGGCTGTCTCGGGTGCGAAAGCTCCAAGCATCCAATTTCCCACACTGTTTGCACCTATGGTGGTCACTTTCTAACAGCACACTGGCCTTTTGCACAGTATTGGACACAAGCAAATTCACATGCAATATCATGCAAGAACTATAGCACAAGACATGCAAAGCAAACGCTGA